TTAAATTATATTAAAATCTTATTAAAAAATCTGTGAAATTCAGAAAAAGGTAAAACTATATCAAAGCTTATAAAAATTATAAAAATGTGAAACTATATCAAACAAAATGTTAATTTTATCTAGTATATAAAAATTCATCCTACCATTAAATATTAAAATTAATAAAGTTTTAAATATATTGAATTTTTTATTGATTTAATTATATTATTATTTTGTTAGATTTGCAAAGTATATAAGAATGGATTAGAAGGTAGCATGAGGACTAAAGTAGAGTTATTTATTAGCATTGATGTTAAAAAATCTAATGTCATGATATTAAAGATAATAGCACTTTATTATGATAATTTTTACTAAATTGAGTTAAACAAATTTATTTATAAATTAATTGCAGTATATAGTACCCTATAAAAGGCTCATTTTCACGTAAGCTACGGAGAAATAATGGAAATATCCGGCGAAATTTTTTTATAGGGGTAACCCAAAGAAAGTCGTTAAAATATTATATATACAGTCATGCATGTTTTTTTAAAAAAAAACTATATATAATTCATTGATTGGGTTTCGCATGAAATGAAAAATCAAAAATTTAATGGTCCTTACAAAAGAGTCCTTAATTTTATTAACACAAAAATGGCAATATCGTTGATTTTTCCGTTTATGGTATGGAATGGATTTCCTTGGTTCATTGCATTATAAAAAAAGTTATTTTTATTATTTATAAGCGCCCCCACCTAGATTCGAACTAGGATCCTTTCGGTTAACAGCCGAACGCGCTAGCCGGTTGCGCCATGGAGGCTTTTCATATGACGTGACAATTTAAAATTCATTTTATAATATAATTAATATAAAATCAATGTCGAAAGTAAAGGGATGGGTTTAAAGAAGTTTCGATTAATAAGGAAAAGAAAAAAAGTGATATCATTTAATAATCAATTTGCCAAATCCATATTAAGAACTTGGTGTGTATCGTCATCACGTTTATCCTTAAAAAAAAAAAGGGTTGATCAATAGATCTTCATTTCTTTCTTTTATCTAAATAAAAATGTCAACTTCATTTTCGATTCGACCACAATTTATATATGATAAAGTAATAAATTGGTTTCCAGGTCATATGGCAAAAGGAATAAGGATAATATCTGAGAGATTATCAAGTATAGATTTAATTGTTGAGGCAAGGGATGCTAGAATATCCTTTTATAAAAAGTGATTATTTTTTTTTTAAAAAAAATTTGATAAAATCCTTAACCTATTTTATAACGAATAATTTACACATCCCATTATCTTCTATAAATCATAAATTTGAACAACTTGCTGGTGGAAAAGATCGAATTATTGTTTATAATAAAGCTGATTTAGCAGATGATAGTGTGCAACAAGTAAATAAATAATCCAAAGTTGCTATTTGAAGAAAGCGAATATAGTTTATTAATTTCTTTCTTTTTAGCCGATAATTGATGCATTTAGAAAACATCGTAATCAACATGTTATTTTTACAAACGCAAACATGGATAAAAATGTAAAAAAAATTATTAATTTTGCCGCAGGTAACCAAAAAAAAATTTAAAATAAAAAAAAAAAATTTATTGTCATCGTTTAATCGTTTAATTGTTATTAAGAAAAATATAGACAAGATCCGTCAAGCTATCCTTTTGTTACAGTTATGGTAGTTGGAATGCCAAACGTTGGGAAATCCTCTTTAATTAATTCAATGAGAAGAATTGGTGTACATAAAGGTAATAAATAATAACATTGCGAGGCAAAAATATTTCTGGTATTAATTTTTTTTTTTAAAAAAAAAAAATAAATTGTTCTAGGAAAAGCTGCAAAAACTGGTGCATTACCAGGAGTAACTCGATCAGTTGCTATCACATCCATCAAAGTCTTGGAAGATCCTCCAGTTTATTTAATCGATACTCCCGGTAAATTTTGATTTTCTTCTTGAATATAAAAATAATAAGTCCCGAACTAAAGAAAGAATGGATTAACAATGTAGGTGTTATGATACCACACATTCCGGATCCCGTGAGTTCTTTAAAGGTTGCATTAACAGGTAACATCACTCACAAATTGAAGGATATATTTCCTATTTTTTTTTATTTTTTATTTTATTTATAACCTTTTTCTTCAACTATAGGAGGTATAAGAGATCATTTATCGAGTGAAGAAGTGATGGCGGATTATTTACTTTGGCGTTTAAACAATTTTGGAAATTTCAGGTAATTTCAAAATCAATTTTCCAAATATTCCAAGCCTTCTAAAAATTTCTTCCCTTTATACTAGTTATGTGGAAAAATTTAAATTGTCAGGTCCAACAGATGATATAAATTTTCTACTGCCAGCAATATCAAAACGTATAGGTGCTTTGCAAAAATATGGCGAATTTGATCTGAGAACTGCCGCGATGTTTTTTATTAAACAATATCGAGATGGTAAATATGGGAAATATTCTTTAGATGATGTCACTATCGATACTTTAAATAATTATTTTCTTAATGAAAATAATCCCGATAAACAAATTTTATTGAGTAAAAATCAAGAAAAAAAATTATTATGGGAGAAAAAAAAAGAAAAGAGGTTAGAAAGGTGGAAAAGGCAGGGTTATCCTACCAGAAAATCCAATTCGAAAGGTGGTTAAGTATTGATCGGTTTTACATATATGATATGAGACTGAAAAAAATAAATTATGCATTCAGAAGTCTTTACTCGTAAATAATTAAATTTACATCTGTTTCATATAAAGATTGAAACGAGAGTGTTTTTAATTTTTTTTTTATTTCATTTTTTTTTTTATTAATACAAATACAATGCAATGTACTTTACATTTTTAAAGGTTATTTAATATTAGAATTATATATATTATTTCATTCCCAAAATTTTTTTGTTAGAATTTTACATGATGAATGCCGTGAAAAAAAAGACTATATAAATTATTGAATTTCAATGGTTTTGATCGCAGTCGCCCTCTTTGCATGTTTAAAAGCCAATAAAACCTTAGAAATAAGGACGACTTTACGAATTTTTTCAACAGTTTTAGCAACTTTTGCTTTAGTAATAGCATCAGCTTTACGATTTAGTAACTTGGTTTTTCTTGTTTTAGAAGGCCATAATTTAGCTGTAAGTTCAAACGACCAATATCTGAAGAGCATTACTTTAACAAAATCTAAAAAGACGAAATATCCTAATGAAATCGAGATGATGCTTATTCCCCATGCCCATCCTATTGCCGGTGTAAGTAAACCATAAATTGAGATAAACATAGCAAATACTTGTGTACCTAAAACTGCAACGATAAATATAGGTGATGGAATATTTTCCCAAAAATATCCCGAAAGTCGTGTCGAGAAGATGACAAAATGAGGACATGAAGAAATGTGAAGATACATGATTGTTTCGATCTCTTCAAGACTCTTATGGAATACTTCTTTAGCGATATAGAAATGTGCAAATGAAGCTCCAGTTAATAAGGTACCCAAAACTATAGATAATGTAATTAATTGTCCGAGACGCCATTTATCAGGACGTTCTGAAATTTTAGCGTTATCAACCGAAATGACAAGAGTAGCACCGTCATTTAACAGTGCGATCAAAATCAAAAGGATAGCTCTCATAGTCCAATCCTCAATTAAAGTGATAAAGAAAAAGAACATTAAAAAGTGAACGGTAGAGGTAATACGATAAAGTGCATAAGATCTCATTCGTTGAAAAATTGCACGAGAAGTAGTGATACCATCAACAATAGTAGAAAGCCCAGGAGCTAATAAAACGATATCGGCGGCAGATCTGGCAGCATCCGTACATCCATGAACAGCAATTCCAACGTTGGCTTTCTTTAAAGCTGGAGCATCATTCACACCATCACCAGTCATACCAACAAGAAGTCCACGTTTTTGCAAAAGTTCTACAACACGATATTTATGTTCTGGAATAACTTGAGCAAAACCATCGGCGCGTTCACAATTTTTTGTTACTTCTTCATCTGATTTCTCGGGATCAACGAGATATCCAGCATCCAAGATTACACGATTCATTCCAAGACGTTGAGCTACTTCCTTAGCAATAATCAATTGATCACCAGTAATCATCTTTACTTCAACTCCATATTCTCTGCAACGTCTAATTGTTTCGGCTGAATCCGGACGAGGAGGATCTAAAAGTGTAATCATACCAACGAGATCATAAGTTTCAAGATCTCCAGGTATAGAACGCGCAATACCAAGGGCACGAAGACCTCGGGCGGCTAAACTGTTAACAGCATGAACTGCATCATCATTTCCACCAACAAGCTTAATAATAACTTGAGGAGCTCCTTTCGCAACTCTAAAAACTTCTTTTGAATTATTATCAACAACGGTTGCGTTTGACATCTTTGTGTTTGGATTAAACGGAACGAATCCTGTGACTTTATATCCAGGAACTTCATGTTTATTTGGCCGTGATTGAAGGATTTGCAAATCACTTTCAGCAGCAAAACGAACAGCGGTTTCAATCGGATCATTTGCACCAGGTTCAGCTGAAAGATAGGAATATAAAAGAATGTCGTCTTTCGTGTAACCAGGGCAGAGGTAAGGTTCATCAAAGGTTAACTCATTAAGCGTTAATGTACCGGTTTTATCAGAACAAAGAACTGAAACTGAAGCCATTTCTTCAACAGCTGTAAGACGTTTTACGATAACTTTTTTAGCAGCCAATTGTTTTGCACCAACAGCCATTGTGACGGATAATACTGTTGGTAAACCAACAGGAATGGCAGCAATGGTCAATACAAGCACGTTACCAAGGACGGTAAGAAATTTCCCCTGTTCGGTTCCGCGGAATTTAACCATTTGATAAACGAAGATGATAGTAACCAAAACAACGGTAATTAAGATCAAAAAGTTTCCAATGGAATTAACAATCTTTTGGAAATGTCCTTGTTCCACAGTAATCGAAATTAAGTTAGCCGCCCGTCCGATAAAAGTATTTGATCCGGTTTTTGTGACGACAGCCAACATTTGACCTTGTTTTACAATTGAAGAAGAATAAACGGTGCTACCCTTCTTTTTCTCAACTGGAAGAGATTCACCGGTTAAAGCGGACTGATCGATTGAAAGCGTTCCTTCAGTTTCACCACCAGTTACCGAAATTCCAAGAAGACGGGCGTCTGCGGGAACAATGTCTCCAAGACGAAGTCCGATGACGTCACCGGGAACAATTTCAGATACATCAATTTCAATGAATTGGGCATCACGCCAAACTTTTGCCTTCAATGCGAGCGTTTGCTTCAGGGCATCTAAAGCAGATTCGGCACGTGCCTCTTCTATGAAACCAATAAAAGCATTGACAAACAATAATGCCAAAATGATACCGAAATCGAGCTGTAAATAGCATTTAAATAAGAAGAAATTGGATTTAATAAACAAAAAGAAGTTTATTTAAGGATAAAAGTATAAACTAATCTCTTACCCAATGTTTCACAATAATAGCGAAAATGCAAGCTACTTCAATTAAGTAAGCAATCGCTCCATTGAAAAAGGATAAAAATTTGAGAAATGGGTTCCTCTTGGATTCAGCCAATTCATTTCTACCAAAATCTACCAAACGTTTTTGAGCTTCAGCTGTAGTTAAACCTGAAGCAGGATCGGTTTGAAGCAAAGCTTCTAATTCTGGTGAAATTTCTTCTGCCATTTCGACATGTTTATGTTCTATGAGTTCGGCGGGTTTTTTTTCACTTTTTTCAACATCCCTTGATGTTGAGGAAAAAACAGTGATTTCTTGATCGGTTTCTCTTTTTTCTGATGACATAATTAATTGGGTTTTTTATGGTTGTTTTTTTTTGTTTGTTTTTACAGTCTATATACTATTTACTTATTAAAAAAAATGTGATTGAATTTTTATTTAATTTAATATGCGAGAAGATAACATTTTCTTATTGAAATTAAAAATTATATATTACAATAAAAATATTAATTATATTAATTAGGAGAAGGGATGAAAAGACAGATTTAATTTTTAATTAATATGCACAATTCAACGGAACTTGTAGAAGTTAACTTTTTTAAATGAGAATGGATCGGTTTTATAGTTTTTTTTTTTAAAAAAAAATTGTTATCTCATTAATCGAATATTAAAGTAACTTGCATAATTGATAATTGAACATTATATCAGGCAGACAGATTGAATAGCCCTGATCCTCGTTCATGTCCCAAAGAAATGTACTTTTTGGGAATGAATCTGTAGCAATTTACGCACGTGTGCTTCAATGATTAGTACATTTCTTCAATGATTGTCTAACTTCAAACAAAATATAGAAACTGAAACCAATTTATAATTACTGCGGTTGTTTAAGACAGTTTGAATGCTTTTCGTGTAATAACTCATCGACATTATACATTTATCCAATCAAAATAACTTTTCACGCCAAGAAATTTTGAAATTCAATAATTGAGTCACATATCTAAATCTTTACGATATTCAAAAAAAAAAAATAATAATTAATCTCTTGGCTTTTTTTTTTTTTTGCTCGGATAGGATTTCTCCCTATCTAATCGGATAAAAAGGATCAGCGATCCTTGCCGTTATTTGTCAAAAAATTTGCACCTCTCAAAACAATACCAATTGATCAAGGATCGAAGAATCTAAAAGGGTTATTTGTTTTCTTAGTCGATGTAATTGATTTATTTATTTAATTCTCGTGTGGAAATATATTTAAAACATAAATAAGGAATTTGATTTATTGCATTAGAATTGCGCCTTGTAAATATCTTGTGTTATAACGGGTAAATATTCCAGAAAAAAATGCCAAGACTCCACGAGACCTAAAAAAATATAAAAAAATATTAAATTCATTTTTTTCATTCATTTTTTTATATTTTGTATGACATTGAAATTCTTACTCAATTTACATGCAGATGATAATTTGTATTTTTCTTGGCAATGCAAAAATTTTTTGAACTTACTAAATATTGGAATAATACCCATTCAACATAATCCGATTTGCTTCAGGGTTTAATTTTAGCAATTTCGGGGTCGAGATTTTTTATGATTTATACATAAAAGATTTTAATTTAATTTTTTTTTTTTTAAAGGGTTTAAGGGTGCAATTTCTAATGCCAATTTATGAATCATGTCATAATCATGTTATCATTAATATATTCGCAAAGAATTTTTCTTTTTTTTTTTTACAACGGAAAAAAAAAAAAAGGATTTTCCCGACATTTTCGGAATTCGACATGGATTCGGGATTTATATTTAATATGTTTAGTTCAATTTGATTCAATTAATTCTAGTATTCAATTTAGCAAATAAATTACTCGTTTTGTAAAACCCGTACTGTTCACGTGCTTGAACTTTTGAGCTAAATTTAGTTGGCCTGTAAACCTGCATGCACTTTTGGCGTTTTATATGTATTAACCGTTTTAGATTTTGGTTATTCTTTATTTGACTTTATATATGACCAATAAGATTATTAATAAAATAACAATCCAATTTAATGCCCTAGAATAGTTTGGTATTAGCAATCAAATATCCGGATACTATTAAATAAACCAATCAAAGTTATTGCATATCATAGAAAACTTATTCACATGATTTATAATCGCAAAACGCTATCACAATTATATCAATAATCATAATAAATATAATAATTCTTATATATAT